TAGAGAAGTTGCTGAGAAGATCTTGAATAGAGAACTTGCCCTATGACCCCGAGGTGTGAGAGCAGTAGCTGTGAGTTTCCATATAATAAATATCCTGTACCTATATGTGCTCAAAAATTTGAAGGGTTGATTTACCCTGGAAATAACTACAAATTGTACTCCCTTATCCATCAGGTCCTTCTGATGTGCATGTTCAGTTATAACTCGAAGAAAAAGGATTAAAGGAACATTGTTACAGTTACAAACACTGACCCAGCTCGGCTGAGAACTGAGGAGCTGGGTTGATTTTCTGTGGCCTCAGCAGCATTCCTTATGAAGTTCTAGATGGTGACACATAAGCAGAGACCCTCCCATCAGCACAGAGGAGACGGAGTCACTGCAGCCTCCAAATCTCTCCTGGTGTTGGGGGTGTCAGGATTAGACCGAGCTCAGTTAAACTGAAAGTCTACAAGACCAGAAATTAAAGGGAGAAAAGTGTCTGTGACACCATCGTGGTTACAATTTAAGCACTTTAAAGGCACTGTTTGAAACAGAAAATGTATTGAGTGTAAAAAGAGCACTAACAAACCTGATGCCTTTCAGAACCTTGATAAAATGTGTTATACAGACTACATGGTTTTTACTCTTTCCTTCTAACTGACTCTCCATAAATTTTTCCCTTTGTGATTATAAATCAGGCTTAACTCAGGTGCCCTGGAGGACATGTGTTGGTCCTTATGTTAACAAATATAAATGGCCATCTAACCATAGTGTTAAGTAAGCATTTGCAGTCAGATAGATAATCCACCATACAGCTCGACATATTCATTATTTAGACACAGATAATCCACCATACAACTTGACATATTCACCATTTAGGCAAAATGGAACCTACTTACACAGAGATCAGATTATCACCTAAAAGCTTTCTGCAGGATCAAGTTGTTCAAGCTTCATTATAAACAAGATTTAAAGGCTTAAATTCAGGAAAGTGTTCTGACAGCATGAGGGATTTCTCTTTAAACATATGGTTCAAATGATGAAACATCATCTGTACGTGACCTTCTGAAGGTTATGATGAAGAAAAGACTTTGGGGCTGTTTTGGTAACAAGAGTATCACCAATAATGGCAAAACAGGGCAGACTGAACTCATAAACATTACCTCAGACCTGTGCTGGAGATAACATGTTTACTAAACTTCTCCAAATGAGCTGATACCACGAGTCATCTCATTGTGATCAGCACTGGGATTATTTCCTGCTAAGACTGGCCTGCACACTGGTATATTATTGCTTGCCCAAAATATTGAACTTAGAAAGTGAAGCTGTCTTTATTTTGTGTAAATAAGCACAAGTGTTCCCTCCTGGAAGGACAAAAAGGTTGCCAGCAAATGCAAATAATGGAAAATACCAGCATGGTAATGATAAAGACATTTGGAGTTCATCTGTTTTTAAGGAAATCTGATTATTACATTGATAAGTGCAAAATTTATACCTTTCAGTTATTTTAAGGAGTATAGTATTTATATGTTGAATCCAGCAAAACTGGCCTTTGATGTTTAAATAGGTTCTCTTATGAGATGTATCTTAAATTTTGGAAGTTCAAAACATACTAGACTTAGTACTCCATGAAATAGGATAGAACTTTGTTCAGGTTTTGCTGCATGATGTTCATTGTCCTCTCACAGATCACTTCATATTTTGGCAGCTTCCAAAAGCAAAGGAGAACAGTGTGGATTCCATTTAATTGGGAGGAAAAGAAAGTGGATAAATAAATATATAAAACTGGGTCAGAGCACTTGTCTGGCTTTCCAGAAGGACGTAACTTGAATTGGTTAATGGTATTTTTATAAAATTTTGTAAGTATTAAAAATATTCTGTAGATATTTAGGCTAATTTTCAGTGGACTGTGAAGCCAGACTGTGCTCTTATGACCCTGTGTGGACCAATGATGGGTCCCTGGGAACTTCCATGACTGGGAAAATAAACCAGCAATATGTTGGAAAAGTTGCTCCGGTTGCTGAACAAAAAAGGGTGAGTGTTTTGTACAGAGAGAAGTGTCCCTATCCCTTGTTTTGGCAGAGACAGCACAGGGGTTAAACACTCTCATTTGCTTTATCTTCATTTCTGTGGCTCAGTTGTGTCCACTGAGCCTGAGACTCCTCTGCATTAACACAGGTGACCCTTCCAAGGTGCCTTTCCCTTGCTGAGCCTTCGCAGCAAAGCCAAATGTCAGGTTTTGTCTGAAGAGCTAAAAACATGTTTCACGTGCCAGAGACACAAAGGTGCTGCTGAACCAAATGGCAATCCAGACATTTAAATTGTGCTTCTGCTGGAATTTCTGTCCCACCTTTTTCTAGTGCAGAGCACAGCAGTTCTGTGTGACAGCACAACTGTTCTGTCGGGCAGCAAAGGAAATTAATACTTTGTGTGAAGGCTCAGGTCAAAATAGGTGATGGCTTGTAGTGCAGGAGCTCCACTGGTACCTGATTAGCCAATATTGTAACATATAAGTGGAAACCTGAACACATGCTCAGATTTATTCCCAATTCAATTTTTGAAACCATTTTGTTTTTAGGCTCAGCATTATTAACATCGCTTGTGTGACAAGAGAACCCCATTGACACAGAGGGTAGAGACCTTTTTCAGTGGTGTATGCTGAATATGTTAAATATTATAATTTCAAATAAAGAAACATTAAAATATAAGGAAATAAAATAAAAAAAGGCAACATAAAAATTCTAATGACCTTGAAAGAAAATTAAGGTTATGTCTAATGTCATATTGCCTAATCCTTAACACTTTTCAGTGTTTTCTTTGACTGTCTCAGGGGCTGCAAATTTAACCAAAGTTTCAGATAAATATCTATGAAAGACAGTTCAGCTAAAAGCAAGATAAATATTTTTATAACACCAAACAGAATTCTTCAGTATTTTTGGAAATGTCTCTGGTAATCAGGAAATCTTCAAATTAATTTTAAAATGTTGTAAGCAAAATTTTACCTTCCCTTCATGAGTCAGTTTGGATTTCTGGATCTATTTCTGCTTGAGAAGAACCACTAAAGAAAATACATTTGCCAGAACTACTTAGAAGAAAGATGAGCTAAATTCAAAGGTTTGAATTTGCACTTAAATCCAAATAAGTGGCTCTCCTTGACTTTGACTTAGAGGAGAGCAGAGTTTAGCCATGACCTGTTGTTAACTATTCTGGATATGCTGAGCAATTATATTTTTGTTTCCAGCTGTCATATGCTGTGACAAATGGAAGTGTGTGCTGTATGTATGAAACCACAGCAGCTAAAGCCTGCCTGCTGCTCCCTCCCTTCACCAGCAATGAAACAAAAGGATTAATACAGAAAAAAAACCATTTGGCCTCACATTCCTTCCTAATTGCTACAAGTAGTTCATTAAAGAAAAGGAACTACTATAAAATGCCTTATAGAGCATTATATTCCAAAAATTTTTTTTGGCAAAAGTTGTAAAGAAAGTTGTTTGGCATAATGAAAATATGCCACTTTTTTTGTTTCCCTCAGGAGTACATTTTCCATATTTATGGGATTTATGTAGTTGCAACAAAGAGACACCTCAATGGTCTTCCATGTTTCTAAACATCAAATAATTATTGGAATTCCCTTGTCTATCCCCTTTCCTATTAAAAGAATAGGAAAATAACAACACCTTTTTTTTTTTCATTACAACTAAGAATAATTACTGAGCAGAAATAGAGGAATATTGTCTTGGATTCACAGCCCAGCTCCTGTGTGTGTTACTCTCAGCCACATGTTGGCACCAAGGTCTGCACAGCCACAAAGCCTTGAAGTTGTTCCATACTGATATTTCATGTATATGACAATTAAGGTTGGACTTATCTGGCTGCTGCTAAGATTTGGAATCTGCTCTCCTGTTTTAATTCAAAGAAATAGTGCAACAGTCTTGCAGCAAATCCAGTTGGTAGAAAAGCTTCACAATTTCCACCACGATGAAGCCAAATACTTGTAATATTAAAATCAACATTGCAAGAAGGACGTATGTCTTCTCCTAAGGTTCTCCCAGTTGACTGTTTGTCCAAAATTGAGTTAAAAGATTGATAAAAGCAGTTGTATGTAGCTCTCAAAGGCACCAGTGTTCCATCTCCACAGGGTTCTCATGGTGCACACATTTCATTAGTCTTACAGATACAATGGTGGCTTGGATTTGTCAGTCCTTACAATATCCATTTCTTTCGTTTAATTGAACTTTATCATTAATGCAATATATTTACGTTGAAAAATCCTCTCATAGTATTAAATCAATTTTTCTATTGCCAGATTTGCAGTCAATTCAGGATTTGAATTATACTCGACCTCATTGTTCCAAGTGAGAGAGTTTATTAGAATGGGTCTGCAGAGAATGGAAATGGGAGAATCAGAAAGCTCAACTGCAGAACCAACAGCAGAGGAAAATCAGACTGGCAATTTTGGGTGCCTCTGTTTTGGAAGGTCAATGTGCTTCCAAGGCCTCCTTTTCAAAAAGCACCACTGACATTTCCCACAGCGCCGAGATCGGTCGCAATTTCTCATTAATCAGAGTAAACCTGAAAAACACGATCTGTACATTCACAGATCAAAATCCTTCAGTAACTGGAAAGAAAATTAAAATCTTCCACTCCCGGCACTGTTGTGGCTTCCTTTTCATATTTCCTACATTAAAGTGAGACAAACTGTGCTAGAACTTCTGTTCTCTACCCTCAGGAAACACCTCTCCCATTATTACAACTCTAATACACCTTCTGCAACTGTGAGAGATTTCTGCTATTTCATGTCACAAATAGGCTTCATAAAGTAGGAATAGGAAGAAAAAAAAAAATCTTTAAAGCTCATCTAGAAATTGATTCTTTCACTCAGTGAAAAACAAGACTAAAAAATTAATAGAATGAGCTTTGAAGGTATTTTTAAACAAGAGGATGGGTTTCAAGAACAAATTAAATAACGAGCAGATGTGGATCAGTACTTCTGTAAATAAAAATCAACTTCTTATTTCTAGGTACGTGACTTAAGGTTGAAGAGCATTTTCCAGCTCCCTGTCCTGTGCATTGCTAAAATATAAAAGTAAGTAAAACCAACTTCATTACATACATATCTTCATGCATTAGGAAATATTTATTAGATAGAACACAAAATGTGCATAACTATTCCTTAAAAATAATGTTTGTTAGCAATTTCCTAATCTGTCCCCCAAATGCCAGAGTGGCTAAATCCCAGAATTACAAGTACTAATAAAGTTATTTTCTTGCCCCCCCTTCCCATCTTTCCCACGATTATTTAGATTTAATGTATAATTATATTAAAATAATTTAAGATTACGTTGCATTAGGAATATCTACCCACGAAAATTATTTGCACGAAATAATCCTATTTTTAAAACCCCCTAAAATTAACCTTCCTGACCAGTACTCCAAACTCAGATCCACAACTCTTGATTGAAATAACTTCCCCACCGATTCAGCCAAGAAAACAATATTGAAATGCCATATGATCACCTGTGGCAGTGCGTGATGCTATCCCAAGAAATCCCAGGGCTTTCTCAGAGTGAGCCTGGTGGATCTCTGCTCTGGGATTTATAAAATGCAATAAAAAAATGACAGAAAAAACACAAAGGCAAATCTATTTTAAAATATAATATTAGCATTGTCAACATGGAAGACTTTATTTAAAATATTCGGAATAGTGTCATTTGTTTCGGGGAATGCAGGAAAAAGTTTCAACAACTAACACGCAGTGTTTCTTTGCAAAATAGCCCCGTGCTTGATGCTGAAGCTGAAATGGTTTTTGCCCACTGGTATCTACACTCTTGTAAAAGAAGGTCAATAGCTGCTCCTTTTGGATTACTTGTCTTTGTCTTCACACAACTCAAACAATAAATAAAGGCAGTCTGTTAATATAGATTAGAGGTTAAACTGTTATTTATCGTCGCCTTTTATGGAGAGATCCTATAAAGGCTGTTATTGACCTTCTCTGCCTACAAAATAAGAGGCAGGTATTTATCCCAGGCAATCCATTTGCAATGAAAAAGAAATTATAGCCTTCCTGAAGAGTCATAGAGCAACTGAGCTGCAATGACAAATCCTGATGAGTAAGAGTTCCTGAATTAACCTGCGTCACAAATTCACATCAGGTCATGTCTCTGAGCGTGTGAGATGAGGAAGGAGCTGAGAAACGTTAGATTTCCCCCTGCTGTTTTTGAGGTTTTCTTCTAAATGTCTGGGATTTGGATGGAGCTGAGCATGAGAAAAATATACAGCATATTCTCACTCCTTTGAGTTTATGTAGTACAGAGAGCTACAAAATAAACTACAGCAACAAAATTGGCATTCCCTGTCATGTATTCCTGTGAATAGAAACAGCTGAACAAAAATCAGTGTGACAGCCACCCACTTAGTGTGCCTTAATCTCACTAACAGCAACCCCTTAAACTGGTTTGTGATGGTACTTCCGCAGTGTGGACCAGAACACAGCTCAGAAACAGCTCTGCAAGGGTTGCTGCAACCCTGAAACCATGAAAGTACTTCCTGAGCACACACCATGGAAGTTTCCTGGTAGAATGGATGGAAACTCCTCATCTGGGCATCCTAAATTGTGAGGGTGTCAGAAATCCAGACTAAGCCTCCCATAATGCTAAAAATAGAGAGGAGAGAAAGAAAAAGAAGATCTCATAAAAAGTTTTCTTTTTTATAGAGCAGCCACAGTCTTCTGCTTCCTCACCCAATCAGTCTTTCAGGCCCAGGCCTGACCAAATTTTGACTACTGAAAAAGCTGTGAGAGCCACTTCCTTCTGCAACCCCTCCACTCTGCCCAGTTGTCACCTCAGCTGTGACCACACCACAGAGTTACAGGCAGAAGGAAACGAACCATAATGACCTTTGGAGAAGAAATTATATCCATCCAAGACACGGCCTTTTTTCCTATCCCAAGTTAAATATGTGGAAAAATGCTCAGACAAGGCAGCAAAGAAATCTTGGGGATGGCTGGGTGGCTCCTGGTAGTAGAGTTGCACATCATAGCAAAAACAGAGTAGGGAAAGGAGATATGTTAGAAGTTACTGTCAAACATTGCTTCTGCATTATACCTTTGCAAAGGATTCCACAGCTGCCTGGTCCCCTCGTTGTCGAGACCTAAACAACCTGCAGGACACTGGTTGGCTGCTCAGACTAACAGAGGTGAGAGCACAGTCATTTAACTTCTTGCATCTTCCTTGTTTCGAAAGCAAAATGGTCAGAAAGATTAAAGTATTTCAGATGCTTGAAGAAATAAAGTCATAGTTCCTTTCCCAGCTGATGTGTGGGCAAGTGCCCTTGAATTCTGCTGTGTTTAACTGCTGGAGTTTAACTACTACAGTTTAACCACTACAGCTGAACTGTGTTGAACTAATATTTTAAACTCTGGTTGGTTTAAAATACTCATTTATTCTTCAGAGTAAACCTCGGATTCTACAATTCATTAAATAAGACACACAGAGAAGTAGGTCCTTCTACAGCGTTTTCTTACAAATATCTTTACAAAAATACAGGAAAACCAGCCAGGAAACATCACAAAGAAAGGAAGAAATTGTAGTGTAAAAATAAGAGAACCACGTTTTCCAGAAACTTCTGACATTTTAGGAGGAAATTCTTCCCTGTGAGGGTGGGGAGGCCCTGGCACAGGTTGCCCAGAGAAGCTGTGGCTGCCCCATCCCTGGAAGTGTCCAAGGCCAGGTTGGATGGGGCTTGGAGCAACCTGGGCTAGTGGGAGGTGTCCCTGCCCATGGCAGGGGGGTGGAACAAGATGAGCTTTAAGGTCCTTCCAACCTAAACCATTCCATGATTCATTCTAAGTTCTCATGACAATTTTTATCTGGAACAAAGAGCTGCTATAAAGGAGAGTAGCTTGGATCTGATTGCACTGCACACAACCCTGGAGATAATAGAAGGTAAGAACTGGGAGATAAGAGTTCAGCTCCACACCAGCTCTGGACTGGTGTGCTCCTGCTGACGACCTTGTTCCACCTGAAGGTTTGTTAAGGTTGATGGTGTTGCTCTCCTTGAATTTGTCCTCTAATTTGGAAAAACCATCTACACATTGGCCAAGTTTCAGCAGTCACCAAGCACTTTGTTTGCCCACTGACTGTTATTAAAAATGCCTTCCTTTTCATTTTTCTGCCTTCTTGGAAAACCTCCCATTTGGAAGACCAAAGTTTTTCTTTTTCACTTCTTAGCCTTGGAAAAGACCGACATCTCCACGGGAATTCTTTTCGTGATAACACACTGGTTCAGGTTTGTCCTGACCCTTGTTTTCAGACTCCCTAAAGCAGGATCTGCTGAACATCTCCTCATTTGGTTTTTGTTTAGCATGCAAAGGATTTGTTACTTCCCTGCATATTGCACCTAAACTTTAAATTGAATCCTGTCTCCAAACAACTTCCAGTGTCCCCCCCAGTTTCTGGACAGTAAATCCTTTATATATTTCATCCTTTGTATATACACCTCTGTTTCCCTCTGAAATACCCAAGCATTTGTAAATAAATAAGTTCCATCTCATTTTTCAAAAGCATATCTTAATTTAGTCAATTTGTGAGTCCTACACCTAACAAGATGTTGACTGAGGAATAAAATAAGCAGAAACACTTTAATGAAAGTGATTACCTTCATCTAAAAGTGACAAAAGGTGTATGTGGTTCCAAGTTTCATGCTAAATAGATGACTTGCACAATAACTTTTTTTTTTTAGTGTAGAATAGGTGGTGAGGGACATTTAGTGACACAGTGCCCCTTGGTGGGAGTCGTGAGTTACTGTTCCCGATTGTTGTGGTTTGGGAAGCTCGTGGGATTGGTTTCTCATTTAATGAGTTCGTTCCTGGGAAATATTAAATGCATTAGTGCTGACAATAAACACATCCTTGCTTATATCACGGAAATATTTTAGTGCTGGCTATATCAAAACAGGTGGATAGGATGGGGAATGAAAGGAAATAATGTTTTAAGTGAGGTTTTGATACACAAGGTATTAGATCTGATGAAGTGTAAATGTGTAAAAATGAGTCTCAAATGGCAATCTGGGTTTCTGTCCTGACTGTGCCACAGGAATCCTGGCTGCTTGTCCCACCAGCCCCCCAGCCACACCACTGGATCCCTGTCAGCTTGGGATTCAAGAACTACACTGAGTTCTTCTCAGCCTGCAAATCATATAAAGACACTACAGTGAAAGTCTTGCTTGGAGTAATTCACCCTATCAGGGATGCAAAAGCACAGAATCCATGCTCACCTGTTTACATGCTGGTTTTGCAGGGAACAAAAATATAGGGAAAATCTATATTAATGTACAAAGAGCTGACATGATTCTAATTTTAAGGGGCAGTTTGTTGGGTGAGGAAATATGCTCTTGACATAGTTCATTTCAGGTGGTGACCTTGCTTTATGGAGGCTTCATTTTGCCTTAAGTAGCTTGGATTCATTGATATAAAGGAGTTTTAAAAGTGTGATTAACTTCTGCTGCTGCCACAAAAGACAATACCCACCTCTCATTCTTCTTTAGTTTCTTTATTGAGGACACAGAGGGAAAAATCACTATTGTGAGCCTGCAAAAAAAAAAAAAAAAAGGCAGAACATTGGAATAAATGGATTGCTTTCCTTACACAGGAACACAATCCCTGAAAAATTTTAAATTTTACCCTGAATGCCCTGCAAAAGTTTAAATACATAAGTCAGATTATCCCATTTTCTTTCCTGTGTTAGAGTCACAGTGAGCCAAACTGCCATACTCATGTTTCTGGCCCAAATTCTCTTTGCTTGAATAGTTACCACATCAGTGCTGGAGTGAATAGTGTCAGATACAGTCCAATCACAGCTAAACAACTCACTCCAAAGTGCTTCCATTTACTGCTCACACCACTAAGGCTTGGAAAATGAATAGGAACAACAGAATAGCTAATTGTTAATTATCATATTACTCAGATTGATCCCTTCCAAAAACAATCCAATGTGTTGTTAATGGGCCTATTAATCAGGTTATGGTTCACAGCATGAACTGTTTGCACTGTCCCGGAATTTTAAGCATCTGACAGGTGTACAGAGCTTT